GTTCCTTGCAAAAGGCTGCCACTGCTGTGATCGCTGATGGGTCTTCCGTCGGTAGCCCATTCAGAAGTGATCAAACTCAGACAATTATCTTGCCCTCCCCCAGAGCACCTGAGACTGGCTTCTGATTCACACTGGTCCAGACAACACTGAGCTGGAGATGTGCTGGGGGCAGATGCTCAGGGCTTCTTGATTGATATCCAAGAAACCTATTCAGAATTGTGAGCTCGTTTGACACATACTCGGAGAAACGCTTTGTCCCAGGACTCTTGAATTTTGTATAGTCATGGTCAAGAACAACTGTGTTTGATCTGCATAAAGATCACATTATAAAATCGACCTACCAAGCCAGCAGTATATTTCTCATCTTAAAGAGCCGAGTCTCTTTTCAGGACATTCCAGCAATTCCATGGCTGATGGAGACTATGTTTGCTGTTAATGTAAGTGTCTATCTATGAAAATGGGGCTAGGTCATAAATGCTGAACATAACTTTTCTCTTATAGATTTCAAAAATTCACAAAGGTATTTTAAAAAGTACTCGTATGTGTTTGACAAAATTGAGATGTCCTTATATTACCTATTTTTGGTAGCTCCTAAAAAGCAAATTAAATATCACTGATGATTATTGATCAGTCATATAATGTACTTATACTAATTCTCTGAGTTACCATCTGAGCAACCATTTCCAGGCAGACATTTTAATTCCTATGTTGCTGCTGACTTACCACAGCTGGTAAAATGCCATTGGAAAGTGTCACATGTAAAAGAATGAAAACATTGAAATGAAGCAAGATGGGATTGGGAGGGAGATAAACCATAAGTGACTCTTAATCTCACAAAACAAACTGAGGGTTGCTGGGGGGAGGGGGGTTGGGAGAGGGGGGTGGGGTTATGGACTTTGGGGAGGGTATGTGCTATGGTGAGTGCTGTGAAGTGTGTAAACCTGGCGATTCACAAACCTGTACCCCTGGGGAAAAAATATATATGTTTATAAAAAAATAAAATTTAAAAATATGTCAAAAAAAAAAGAATGAAAACATTGAAATGTCTTCAGGTTAGGGTCTGTGACAATTTATGAATTTTTCACAGATAGTGATTCTGTGAAAAGTGGCAGAACGTTAATGCTGTGAGAAGGGAGGGTTTTAATCTGGGGGATAGTTTGGAGGATTTTTGTTGGATTTGGATTATTTGTTTTCCTGAATGAGAGGGTACACTAGAACATATAGGGTCTGATCCCTAGTTGTTGTAATAACAATCCTGTTTCTATGGTCTTGGTGTCACTAGACCCCAGGACACTGATTGGTATATACCACTCAGGGTGCTTGGCTAGGACTCTGTAGTGTCCCTTTGCTGGGCAACGGGTCCTTGCTTTGGCTCAGCACTTCCCCGTCTTCAGGACCTCACACCTGCATTGCAGCCTCGACTAACCCCACGATTCTCCCCACTTGGTAAAATGCCAGGTAAGATATCACTGAAGATAAGATCCGATATGCCAATGTGGTTCTGCCATCACTCTCTATATGCCTGAGAGACCTCAAGAAACAGATACTGAAATGTCATCTCAATATATTCCAGAGACATCGGCTTTGGAGTTTAGTCCCAGGGATGGAGCCACAAATTTATAATCTGGGTCATGTCCTTGGGGGAACTTGGCTTCATTTCACAGATTCAAATGGTAGAATTTCAGTTTTAGAAAGAGTCCTTCATTTTGCAAATAATAGTAAAAAATAACAATCATAATAATCATAATGGCAAAGACAGCTATTTTTTAAGGAGGTGGAAGTCTATTGAATACACTGCCAAGGAGCAGGGGACAGGACGGCAAGGGAGAGACTGTCTGCATGTGGCAGTGACGGGGGCTGTAGTTAAAGGGGGAAGGTGAGGAACTATGGGAAGAAATGGAATCTTCCTTTTTTATAGCTGTGTCCTGGTATAAGTAACCCATTGGTCAGTTAGGGCCTGTGGTATTTTGAGGTGGGTCATCCAATGGACCTGTTTGTATCCAGCCAAGGGGTTGGGGAACCCTATGCTGGCACAAGGCCAGTTGATATCAGACATCTTCAGGAAGTTCTCTGTGCCACAAGGAGTCTGGTGGCTCAAATACAGAAATATAAACTTAAGAGGGTTTTCCTTGGATAGCCTTAAAGAAAAGTCTTTGGACATTCTCTGTTGCAGTCTTCCTAGTCACATTTGTAGGAACATCTCACCTTCTCTGTGATTCTTTTTTTTTTTTTTAAGATTTTATTTATTTATTTGACAGAGATCACAAGTAGGCAGAGAAGCAGGCAGAGAGAGAGGGGGAAGCAGGCTCCCTGCTGAGCAGAGAGCCCGATGTGGGGCTTGATCTCAGGACCCTGAGACCATAACCTTAGCCGAAGGCAGAGGCTTAACCCACTGAGCCGCCCAGGTGCCCCTTCTCTGTGATTCTTATCCACCTCCCCACCCTGAGCTTGAAAACTAAAGGTTAACCGAAGGCAGTGATTACTTTATCTTCTGATTTACAGAATAAGCATTACCTACAACTCTCTCCAACACTAACACAAGCCATTAAATCACATTCACCAGAATTGTCTCACTGATGCAAATTTCTACAAAATCTTACCAGAAAGATAACTGGAAAGAAGAATTGGCTGTGGATTGTTAAAAATTTGTCTAATTACATAATGGAATGCTGAAATGAAGACAGAAAATGTTTTGCTTGCAGGAGATTTTGCCAAAGGCTGCAGTTGTCTAAGGAAAAAAGATTTCCTTTCTTACCCGCCATCAACTTTGGTTGTAAATTAACTGGATTGTCCATTTTAAAGCCATACAATGAAAATATTTATGCTCCTCTCCTGATACAGTTTGCTCAGAGCTTCCAGAATCTGGTTTGGAAGGAGTTAGGGCCACCCGCCCACAGTGCCTAATCATAAAATACCAAATGTTCTAACGTCAACATGGTTCAGTCTAGCCTGTTGCCACTCATTATACAGGTGACACCAAACACTGTGATCAGTGAAGCAGGACTCGAAAAGCGAAACAAACCATCACAAAATAGAAGGTTTTTATGGAAACTTTATAGCAAGCCAGCTAAGACTTCTCAGGGAGGTTGCTTCTGTAAGCTTTGGGCAAACAGGCATAAAAACTACCCAGGAAATGGTTGTATCGATTGCGTGCCCTAAGACACACAAGAGGAAGACCTGAGAGCCAATGTCCCCGTTGTCCATTCAACTTCTGTTCTCTGCACCTGCTGGTCTCATCACTGAAAAATAATGGTCATGTCCCACAAAGTCAGAAGATATCTTGATGTCATCTTCAATAGATTCAACTCTGTGAGAACATATCTCCCTTGTCTCAGCCATAGCAAGGCTAGTGATTCATATGGTGAAGTGGTAACGAGCAGTAGGAAAGGCAGATGGAGAAAAGGTAAAACCAGCTATGTTTTGTAGACTTGAGCAAATTTCCTTCAGGAGACCTATTCAACCAGACTCCAAACCGTTAGCAGAAGTCTTATCACTTACAAGAAGCATTAAAATTATTGATGGAGTAAAGATATCTAAGCTGTAAAATGTAAAAATCTAATACATGTCGGGGCACCTGGGTGGCTCAGTGGGTTAAAGCCTCTGCCTTCGGCTCAGGTCATGATCTCAGGGTCCTGGGATCGAGCCCCACATTGGGCTCTCTGCTCAGCAGGGAGCCTGCTTCCCTTCCTCTCTTTCTGCCTGCCTTTCTGCCTACTTGTGATCTCTCTCTGTCAAATAAATAAATAAAATCTTTAAAAAAAATCTAATACATGTAGTAAAATTTTAAAATATTTTCTTACGGTATTTTTATTATATATTGTAGAAAATTTAAAAAAAAAAATACATTTTAAAGACCAGGCTATAGTGATTAGCACATTGGCTTTCAATATCCAAGACACTGTAGTAGTCTACAATACAAAACAAGCAAAACAAAACAAAACAAAACAAAAAACACATAAACAGACACACAAAAAGCTGTTAACCAGCAAGCAAGCTTTGCTTCACAACCAGAACTACTGGTGATTTTTCATTTGCTTTTCTTATAGACTAGACACAAAACCTTGAGGCTCAAAGCAAAAGCGTACCATTTTACAGGCCAATACGTTTCAAGCCCTTTATATCCAAGGGAAAGGAGTACTTTATGTTACCTCCTGTTTTGTAAATAGGACTCTACATTCCAAAGTTCCAAGGGGAATGCAGCTGACAGAGTGCTTTCTTGGACTGAATATGCCACCATTTGGTATTTGAACTCCCATGGGAACACAGCAGAGAGTGGGTCCCGCGCTCCCTAGAGCCAGTTACCTTTCTTAAGATAGTTGAGCAAGGTTTGGACGGTGTGAGTCTTAAGAATGATACCTACTATTTCTGTTTCAAAGGAAAGTGAAACAAGATGAGGGAAACTGCCTAAAGCTTGAGAGCTTTAAACAGTCTTTTCTAAGATTGACTAATATGGCAAAATCTTTACAGAAAAGAGGCTCATAAATTTTGATTCATACTGAAAACGACATACTTAAAAGGAATCGTGGAGTTTAGCATTCCAAAAATATCAACGGGGATCTCTAAAAAGGAGTACAGAATTTAGCTCCTTGGTAATAATTCCTTTCTACTAGAAACTGGTACCTTGTCTTTTCCTGAGTGGAGGACAAAACCTGAAGATATTCAGGAGAAGACGGTCACTGTGGGATGTCTGGTGGTGAGGTTACAGCCTTCTCTCCTAGGATTTCAGAACTTTTCCCCTTTTTTGGGGGGCATAAGGAGTAGATATTTTCTCTAAAAAAAAAAAGGAACTTATCTATATATTTAAAGTCGCTTGTTTCTGTTCACTGTACCCATGTTTTTGTTTGTTTATTTAACAAAATGCCGGGAAATTTTCTATGCTTTAATCTTGTGGGTTCTATTAATTTGTGCTAATGGTCCTGCTCATATGAACCATGACTTCTCAAATAAAAACAATTCTTTTTCTTAGATATTGATTTCCCTTTCCACCTTGCTTTTCATAGGATGGATTTATTGACTTTTTAGAGTTTATTGCTGCTATAAATCTAGTTATACGAGGAAAAATGGAGCAAAAATTAAAATGGTATTTTAAGCTGTATGATGCTGATGGAAATGGTTCTATTGACAAAAAGGAACTACTGAACATCTTCATGGTAAGTGAAGTAGTGAAGCAACTTTGTAGGACATGGTATAGTTAATGTCATTTTCCTCCTTGTGGAGCTGGTGAGAGCTATGTGGTGGGTGACTCTTGGGATATACATTTGGAACCACTGGAACAATGTAAATGTCACTATGCTACTGGTTACTGAGTGTGCACTTGCAAACCAGCATTTTCTTGTTGATGTCAAATTCACAGATGTAGCAGAGTACGGAGATGAAAAATGAAATAAACATCATGTTCTAAAGCAATTTACCTTTTGTCTGCATCTGTGCAGAAAGTTTTGGGAGGAACAGCTAAAATACTAGGTGATTTGTATAACAAGAGCCATGAACTAAGAACAAAGGTAGCTGAGGACTAATCTTTCTGGGGGCTGGACTAAAGTATTTTTAATAGGTAGCTCAAGGATCTCAGGTCCTTTCCAGCTCTAAAGATCAATGAGTCCCTTTATGAATCTCGTCCCCCTCCATCATGGAAGTGGGAATAGTTATTATCACAGTATGAGATGAAATGGGTCCTAGAGTAAAAGATGGTTAAATGGGACATTGTACCTAGGTGAGGTTGTGAAGTAAAATAAACATTAGGAATGTGATATAGTGAATTTGTAACACAGAGTCAGAATTAGAATCAGAAGTCTTAGAAATGATCTGGTCCAAATTCTTCCATTTACAGATGAAGGATCTGAGTTACAAACATGATACATAGTATAATTTTAGCAAAATGCAAAGAAAAGTAAATGGGTAGAACTACCATTATCATTAAACACCTCCATAAATGGACAAAGCTGTTAAAATGTAAAACTGTTTAACAAATGTAGAGTTCACCAAAATATGCAAAGAATTCAAGAGTGTGTTAATACTAATATTGCTTCCACTTTAATCTCACACAGGTAATTCACAAAAATATACTAAGATGCACTTCATAATTGAATTTTGTAAACATTAAAATTCAGAAATTCTGTATATATATTACATATTGCAACACAAAATTAGGAATCTAAAATATTCTCTAGAGAGTACCCAACCCCATGTAAATTTTAGAATGTCCTCTTAGATAAACATTCTTGAATTTATTTTAAAAAAATATAGAATGTATAATAAAGCATACAGATATTGGGGGATGCCTCCAAAGCAGTACAAAAAATAAGCATTCTTATCCTGGGATCTATGGATCTGTGGTCTTTGGGAATCCTTGAAGACCATGAAATTGAGGGCAGGTTTTTTTCCTGCATATGTTTTCCATTTCTGGGGGAGGGAGAGGGTCATCAAATTCTTAAAAGAATTAGGAAGAACAAAAGGATAAAAATGATTTTGTCTAAATCTTATGGAAATTTTTGCACAGATTTTCATTAGTTAAAATGTATAACTTATGTTAGTGAGAAAAGGAAAGAGAAATATTAAGTAGCTAATTGAATTTTTTTCTTAAAGTGTTAAGAAAAAGAACAAAAAGAAATAAAGAAACAATAAAAACACAGAGCAGAAATTAATAATTGATACTATTTGTCTCTACTGAAATTAATAAAGATTAACAAGAATAAGATGTAATTCTCGCAAGGGCACTGTAAGAAGTGCACCCTTACACACTGTGGAGGAAGTATAAATGGATAGAACATTCTTGGAAATTTGGTAATCTGCATCAAGAGGCAAAAAGTTTATCTTCATTTTAGAGTCAACATTTTTGGTCAGGAAAAGCAATCATTAACATCAAAGATGAAAGTTCTATGACTTACATCACAGAGTCACTTAAAATATTAAAAAATAAGTGACTTAAAAGAGGAAAAGTTTTAAATAAATTAACGCAATGGAATACGTACTTGCCAAAAATGAGTGGTCGACAAACATGTTTTCTCTATGGTGGCAAGTGAAAAAAAAAAATAGGGTCAGGAATAATACATGCTGTTTAATAGAAGTTCTTTCAATACGTAATAATAGGATGTTAAAATAAAATACAGCCCAACCACCATAAGGATCCAAAGGAAGTACTAGATTATAGGCAAAATTTAAAAAGGAAGTAGTTTCACTTCAAAGGCGTAAAATGGTCAGGAGAATTCTGAGCAGGATTATTAGAGAGGATTTCTTGGGTAAGAGCACTCAAGTCAGTAGCATGGGGATTTAAGGAGACCATGGAGTTTTGGGCAACACTGTGTTCCATTGTTTGAATCTGAGGAATCCATATGAAACAGACCATGGCAGCAGAGTCGAGGGATATGGTTTAGGAAGTGTCACATGCCCAGAATTAGTTGGGACAGAGGTTTTTTCGTAGATCAGATATGGGGGGTGGGGAAGCTGATATAGAGTTGTCTTGGATCTTGTCCAGCTGAGCCCCTTGGAGAAATGAAGCCACCTCAGAAGAAGAGGGAGCTAGAGGTAGAACCAGAGAGTGGTTCCCACCCATGAACGGGTGTGCCCTCCTTCTCCCCCAGGGGACACGTGGCAATGTTGGGAGACATTCTGGTTGTCAGCGAGGCCGTGAGTGGGGGAGGGCGTGGTGCAGCTGCTCTCTATTGTTTAGAGACCATCTATTGTTTGGATGTTAAACATTCTCCAATGCACAGGACAATCCTGAACAAGAAAGAATTGTCTAGTCTGAAATATCAATTGTGCAGATATTGAGAAACTCAGACCTAGAACTTGTAGAAGGAGCCTTGAGGGGTCAGCTGGAATCAAAATGCCTGACGCATGTCTAGGGAATTGCAGGAGAGAGTCTCAGTAATGAAGGGGAGGCATGGTCTCAGATAAGGAGGGGATTTCCAACATCTGCCATCCCGAGAGCTCTGACACTAGAGAGCCATGACAGTGCCTGCCAAGTCAGCGGTGTCCTGCTCCCCCTTCTCTCTTACCTCCTCCTGCTCCTGCTCAGAGTTCTCAGAGAAGGGCTTAGCAAAATGCAGGAGAAAGTGAGAGAACCATGAGAGACTATGGACTCTGAAAAACAATCTGAGGGTTTTGAAGGGGCGGGGGGTGGGAAGTTGGGTGAGCCTGGTGGTGGGTATTATGGAGGGCACATATTGCATGGAGCACTGGGTGTGGTGCATAAACAATGAGTTCCGGTACACTGAAAAGAAATGAAAAAAATAAAAAATTATAATTAAAAAAAAAAAAGTACAGATATGCTAAATGAAGGAGAAGAGAAGAAAACAAGCCGTGCGTCCTTGCCTGTTCCCCAGCCATGTTTTTCCTGTAAGAAGAGGGAAAACACAGGCAACACTGACAGCTCCCTCTGAAAATATCCCTTCAGGTCTATCAACCTTTCAGTCAATCCTTCAGTCTCACTTATATTGCCCAGAGATGGGTGACAGACAAATCCTAGAAATTGCGTAATCTTTTATTATGACATATACATACGGTCTAGAATCCCTTCAGGCTAAACCTAAAGATGCCTAACCAAATTTTCTAAGCTTTTGAGACCTCTTTCAAGACACTGAGAAACACTAAAAATGTCCAATAGGGTACTACATGTACGTAACCATTATTCTAAGTATCACCCTATATTTGACTGTCAGACCTTGACTTGCTAAGGCCAGGAGTTGTGCATTACCACTGTTCGCTCTGGCTAATCCTGGATTCAGCTTCCATAATGCTTGAGAAGCAGAAGAGAGTCCTATTGCAGACTGTGCCCTCAATTAAAATATGTTGCCAGCGGTTTTTCTAAAGATCCCTTCATGTTCAATCAAGATAGTTATGTTCAGATTCCCAGATGACTACTCATTTTCTCTCTTCATCTCTCTTTCATTTCGTTATGCATTTCTACATCAAATATTGGTCACTTAATTTAATCACCTGGAGATGGGGAGAAGTCGAGAATGGTTAAGTTTTCCCTCCAGGAAAGCTGGAAATGTCATTTTCCCTGGGTCCCCTGACAGCTGTAATGATGAAGGTGCTGGCAGGATGTGAGAGAAATACCGTGTCCTTCCAAGGCATATATATCTGTCTTCCCAGTCGATCATTCCACAAAAGGACAAAAAGGACCAGAGATGCCAGTGTCAGAAGCTAGAGGGAAAGTCTTAGATGGTTACAGAATATCCTTTCATGTTTCTCCATAAAATCAACGATAATTGGTCTGAAGTTGAGAGCATTGTCTGTTTTCTAGGTCCAGAATTCTTACGACAGTGGCTGCTACAATTTTTTCCTCCAGTAGATGTTTTTGCATCTTTTGTGACCTAATATGTCGAATGGATCCCTTTCTGCTCTATAATATCAAACTTCAGATTGTATTCAGTTAATTAAATTTCTAAGCCTCATTACCCTGAACTGACATATAATCTTTTTATTTATTTTTAACAACTAGAACAGGTTGGACAGCCAAAATGACATGAACACATCCTCAAATTCTGTCACATTGTGGGTAGAAATGTCACAAAAATGTATTTGCTTCCAGCAAAGTTGAACTTTCTGATTTAATTTCTCTTTTCCAGGCTGTACAGGCCCTCAACGGCCAGCAAACTCTGAGTCCTGAAGAATTTACTGACTTGGTTTTTCATAAGATCGATATAAACAATGATGGTAAGGCAATTACTCTCCTTGGGCTTACTTTTTAAAAAATTCTACAAAGTAGTAGATGGTGGTGTGGGAATGCCATTAGGCAAAAGCATGAACCTTTCAAGAAAATCCTAGTTTTGATATCACTTGGGCTTCATAGTTTGGCCAATTCAATGTTCTCTAGTCAGTACAATTAAATTGAGTAAATATCTATTGAAAAAATACACACACACACACACACACACACACACGCACAAATATTTTCAGTTCGTGATGCTTGACACTTTGGGATATATGAACAAAGTAAAGAGAGGTACAAGGAAAGAAAAGTAGGAAAATATGATTTGAAGGACGCTCTTGTTCGCTTTGGGGTATGTTCTAGTAATTATTACTTTCTACTGGAGGTGTCGCATCAACTTGCCAATAAACTCAAGTTTTCCATAGTATAAAAATCATTTCTTCAATTGTGTAATTTACCTCTACTATCAGATTTTCCCCTTCCCTTTGAATACACACTTCTGGGAAGAGTTGTTGTATTTGCCTTCATTTCTGTTTTTCGTACCTTTTCTACATTTCTACTCTTTCTGCTAATTTTTCCATCTACTATTGCTACCCTCAAATCTGGCTTCCTCCTTAACTCAGAGAAGGTACACTTCTTGTCCAGAAGCTGAGTGTAAGGGAAGATGCAGACATTCTAGGAGAAGAGGGAATGCTTACACCGAAAGACTTTGATCTCAGTAAACTGATAGGGGAGCATATTGATTGGAGATTGAGGCAACCTATCTAGGAATGTTCCTTGAAAACAGAAAGTTTGACATTGTGGAAAAATATGAAGTTAGTAAGTGATTTAAGTGGGGAAAAGGGATGGATATGAGGTATTGGGACTCCAGCCATGGTTGCCATCAATCGAAGGTAACTTTTTCCTAAGAGCCAACGTGCCCACCATAGGTCACTTCTTTTAATGGACACTAGAGGGCAGTAGACACCCATGTTGAGTGTGGCAGTTTGCACACGTCTACTGTGGCAGCTCAGTCTGGCAGGATGGGATGGTGAGGGGGCTGGGAGGGAGTTCACATGAAACTGCCACTATGAATGAGCCAAACAACTGGACAAGAGTATAAATCTCAGAATAACACTTTAGAAATATATCAATCGCATTAATCTCCCTCTTAGCACCTAGTCCTAGTTTGCTTCACTTTAATTTCAAGTCAGCACGCTCATTTTCTAAATGACCAAGATCAGAGCCATTTGGTTGTAATCACTTATCTTTGGGTCTATCTAGATTGAGGGTAAAATAAGTCAGTTTATGTAAAAACCTACAAAACACAGATTCCGACTACCCAGAATCGACAAGGAAACTAAGTGCAGGTAGACAAGGACCAGAGAAATGGAAAGTAGAAGATCTTAGGAGGTAATGACAATTTTATTTAAAATATGCAACCGAAAATTCTAATCACCAAACAGGACAAATACTGTAGGTTTTCTTCTGTTTTAGTTTTTAATCTTAGAGGTGCTAGAGTATGGCAGGGATTGGAGTAGAGATGATAAAACGTTTCAGGCTGGGGCTGAAATCATTGGCCAAAGGACAAGTGTCATGGAAATAGATGGGACATTGTGAATGTTTCAGATTTAGTAATACAATAAAGATCAAAAGGGCAGGTCAAGAATGTTTGAAAATATCTCTGGATCCTGCATCTAGGGATGGAAGTCGGGGGAAAGGAAAAGTGACCTCTCCTGGAGAAGTTTGAGGATTGTGTTCTCCTTGAGAAGGGGCTTGATTTCTATTAGTGTGAAGGAACAGATAATGTGTTCCAGAAAACAAGAAAATGATGCAAGACTCTCTATTTATTATCTAAACAGTTTCCTTACAAACAAAGTAGAAGGAGTCAGTAAAATGGGAGAATGTGATTGGAAGGGCCTAGAAAAAGAAAGAGAATGTTGCAAAAGGATGCAAATCTAGAATAATGAAGGTGTTTTCTTGGACAATAACTAAGGATACCTACAGCCCAGGAAATGGGCTCTTTGATCTGAAAGAATATGTCAAAAGAAAGAGAATACATTTTTGTTTCTGGAATGGCTTATAGAACTAATCATGCAAATCATTTTCTCTGATGGAAATTTGTATTTAAGAAAAAAGATGTATATCATTGTCTTTACAATGAAGATATCAAATAAACTAGTTGCATTTTGGAACAACAGTGAACCACTGTTTCTTGGCAAATGCATATACACAACTGAAACTGATAGAATTTGCTTTTATATGCAAATTATTGGAGGTTGTTGTATTATCTCATCAAGAGACAGCTGGATCATTCTCTATATCAAGAAAAGGATGCTGAAATTGTACATTTGGACAAAGACAGACCAGAGCACCAGAAGGCAAGGAAAAGAAAGTAATGAAGACATAAAAGGTTGATATTTGCAGAAGTATAAAAGGATTTTCCCAGTATTTGACATAGGAAAATAAAGTGTTTCACTCACACATGAGAGTAAGCACCACTGGGGAAAATGTCTATTTATCTTTGTACAGATCGAAGTGTATATACCGCGAATAAGACTTTTTAAATTGTTAATTATTATTGTTATCAAAACATTAGTGTTGGGAGAAATAGAAATGTTAGTCAAGTTTACCAAAATAGTGTTGACTATGTACCAATGTATTTTTTAATTTTCAAACTGAAAAGCAAGCATACTATTTGTATCTGATAATCCAGTGAATGTTGAAACCAAAGATAAAGAAGATCACGATACACCAGGATACAACTTTAGGAACATAGACAAACATCCCAATTTGACTGCAAATTGTTTACAACAGAATGACCAACATCAAATTTGTTGGGACAAAAAAATACACCACAACTATGAAGTAATCTATACGTGATCATCATGGTAGTTAGCAAATCAAAGTTGGAAGACAAATCAAAAGAGAGGCATAGGATAAATGTTAACAAAACAAAAAGATGAGATTCTACAAACTCTGTGAGGGCAAGAACTATTTCTGTTTTATGTCCTTTGGTATTTCTTGCATGCTCACACTTCCTGACATGTACTAGTACCTTAATGAATAGTTGTTAGATGAATGAGTGGTAAGAAGATGTCATGAAAAGTGAAGGAAGAAATAAAAAAGAAACAAGCACAACATGCAATTTTTTTAAAAAAAGATTTATTTCTTTATTGGAGAGAGAGAGCGAACAAGAGAATAGAAAGAGAGCACATGCACACACTAGTGGGGGAAGGGGCAGCGGGAGAGAGGGACAAGCAGACTCCTCACTGAGTAGGAAAGCCAAAACAGGGCTCCATTCTAAAACCCTGAGATCAAGACCCAAGCTGAATTCAAGAATCAGATGCTTAGCTGACTGAACCATATAGGCCCCCCACAACATGCAATGTTATCTGTAGGAAGAAAGATAACATCTGCAATGTTATGTGTCTAGACTACTTTGGAAATTAACATACATGTGTGTATGCTCACTTCACAAATTGTAAGTGCAATTGATTAGCAGGAGTTAATTACTCCTGGAAAGTGAAACTGCAGGGACAGAAAGAGATTATGGGGGGGATTCTTTCATTTCATTACACCTTTTTGTAGTGCTTAAGTTTTGTATCATGAGCATATATTATTGTAATAAATCGACAAGAAATTTTTTTATTCTTATATTATGAACAAAAGCATCAGAAAGGAAAACGTGAAGAGAATGACAAGGACAGAAGATTGGAAGTTCAATATTCAATGTTATTGAGGAATGAAAACAGGCAGGACAGCAAGACAAGTCAGGATAAATGGTTAAGCATGGAGTTCTGCAGCCTTTCCTGCAGGAAGAATAGCAAGCGTGTTCTACCATCCACTGCCTAGGAGTCATTCTTGACATGACTTAGGAAGATTTATAGCAGAAAGCATCCAGAAGTTTAACCTGGCACCAAACAGCACAGGGGCAGCGGAGATGTCAGTGGCTCATAGTACTAAACCGTGAAAGTGAAAAGAGACAGAACAAGACCAAAGACGAAATGAAAGAGGTGATTATTGGGTGGATATCTTGGGTAAAAGAAAACAGGGACAGGACATGAAGACATTTTATTGAGCAGTTACCCAGAAGGACCACTGTCGTCAGCCAGAACATTGTAGAAAGCCACAAGAGTCACAGCGACTCAAGCTGGGAAGCAGAACTACCAGGGAGAAGAGGGCATCGGGTTTTCTCGTACAAGAGAAGAACTGCTGCACTTAAAAACTGGGCTATAGAATGCTGCTAAATGCCGCTAGCGCCACCTTGCTAGTGACTACAAAACTGTGTCGTGTAAAATCTTTAATGGTTCCAGCCCTTGAAAATCTGGTCGTTATCATCTCCTGAGACCCCGCCACCAACCTTCTCCCCACTCCCCCCCACCCCGTTCCCATTTCTGCTACTTTCCCAGCCCCACTACACTGTTCACCAACTTCTAATTTAAAAGCGTTAGAAAGAATTGACAAAAAGTCCTTCACACAGGCTGGTTTCTTTCAAAACTTCTTTAGAGGAAAAATGATAACGTGGGCTTGTATAGGAAATCTTGGCTTTTCTTTTGAGGAGAGAGGGTAGGAGGCCTTTTTTTGTTTTGTTATGAAAGATAATATAAGAGGTTAATGGGGAGAAATACAGGACCCAGGAATATCAACAAGATAACGTGATTGCAAAAAGAAGGCTAAAGAAAATATTCACAGGTAACCTGTATCATCAATGAAGCTACTGAAATCGGTAGTGGGTGATAGAAGAGCATTGACCTTCAGGGTCCCCAGGAGGAGAGAAAGTATCCACAAATGCAACCAACAACACTAAACCATGTAGCTATAAATGATGTATATATGTGTATTTCAACATGTAAAAATAAAATTGTCTTCTTTTGAATTATGCCTTACAAATACTGAAATGTGTCTTGAAATATACAACAAAATAATACAAACTCAAACAATTGATTGAGATCCTTTTGAACTCTGTGATCTCCAGCTCAGTCACCTCTTACTGGCTTTGGCTCTATGGTGGTAGATTTTTTTTTTTTTTTTGAAGGAAACTTCTGGACCTGCATAGGCAATACTTTTTAGACAGATTCAGAAATCATCCTTTTAATTTGTTTGGGCATAAATCTGCAGGCAAATTAAAAGGGATTAGAAAGCAATGTTTAAGAGCATCAGATAAAAGAAAGCAGTTTGTCAGCATGTTTTCTGAGCACCTGTCACATTCCAGAACAGTAGCATTGGAGGAAATGGCACTTGTAGCTGGGACTTACTATGTGTTTGATGAGTAAGTGAACGAATGCTAAGTGCTAGAGGGAAAAGAGGAAAATTCCAAAGTAAGTACTTTAAATAGAAATAGTAAATGTTGTCAGTTGCTATAGGTAGAAGTTGGCTTAATTTCAAAAAAAATTTTTATGGTAAGTGGTTAGGTAATGTGAAAAAAATAAATATGCAGAGTTCACACATGTTTTGAGAAAAGAGAAAAAACAACAGCGAAGACTTCCATCCTCTAATTTGCTAAGGGAGTAGAACTTAAAAGTTCTCATCACAAGAAAAAAAAAGTATAAAGTATAACTTACCTGCGGTGATGGATTTTGCAAGATGTGCATGTATCAAATCATTACATTGTATACCTTAAACTGAAACAGTGTTATATGTCAATTCTATCTCAATTCTTTTTTAAATGTTTTTAAAAGAAATCCCATCTTTTATCTCTTTGCCATACCAGTAGCCTGTGTTGCTTTTTACTTGACATGGTGACTATACCCTCCACATCCTCAGACACAGCTCCTTCCTCCCGCACTGGTGACAGCAGACAAGTGTTATAACTGAGTGATCAAAACCCACTTCAGTTACCCTGTCTCCACTCTCACTTCTCTTTTGGTTATGCGAAGCCCCTAGAAATTTGAATAACTTTTGCGTGGGGAATTTAGCAGCTATGATTTCTTTTTGCAAAAATTGATAAGATTATTTTGTTGTTGTTGTTTATGGTTCCCGTGACCCAACACGCCACTCCATGGCTGTCCCCATCCCCACACTTACTACTCCTCATTTTGTTTTTTCTCTTTAACTTTGGTTCATTCCATTCCATGATTATACATCCCCTGTGAGACATAGATGACTTCATGCTTACCCTGTGCGTCTTGCACAAACTTCTTTGGCATAAGGAAAACATAAGGAACAAAGATTCAATTTCCATTTAAAAAACGTGTTTTAGAATTTTGCTACTGAAACCAAGAGGAAGGTATCTTATGAGAATGTGATGATCCATGTTTATTTATATTTGAATCACTATTGTGATGTTTTGGATATTTGATTTTATCCACTAAAAAGTATCTCAGGCCCTGCTGACTGTTTGCCTCAGATGTTCATTCTCTAGTTACTGAATGTTCTTGGTTTGTCTTTGGCTGCCCTTCCACATAGCCACAAAACCTATTTGGTACAATCACTTTGAGATCAGAGCTACATCTATACCCCTTGACTTGAAGACATTCATGTGCAACCACATCCCAGTAGACTCTAAGCCCAGGGTGGGTGGTGGTCCAGTGAGGCCAAAGAAAAGACCTGGAGACAGCAATCAAGACATAGGGGTTTTTGTTTGTTTGTTTGTTTGCTTGCTTTTGTTTTTGTTTTTAAAGATTTTATTATTTATTTGAGAGAAAGAGAGAAAGTGAGCATGAGCAGGGGAAGGGCAGAGGGAGAAGGAGAGAGAGAAGCAGACTCCCCATTGAGCAGGGAGCCTGATATGGGACAAGACAGAGGTTTATTGGGAGAACTTATGTATAGGGAATCCAGGAGTGGCCTCCTGGTTTGAACAACTGCTGCAGACATCTCTGTGCATCAAGTTTTATATCATAGTAATTTAACCTAGCAACTATTAGTGGCCCTTCCCCTCCTTGCATTGAGAGAGCTTCCAAGGAAACCAAGGTCTGCCACCTGGACACTTTTTTAAGGGAGATACTCCAGGTTGGCCAACCCCAGGGCTCCTGATCACTTGAACACTAAACAATGCATTCTACATCACATTCTGCTTGATGGGAATATAGAGAGAGGACAGACTCTCTACATTTTCAAGACAGTGATTAACAAGGGCATTTGGAGGTGCTTACACAAACTAGCTATCCAGCATGTACCATAAAGCTCATAATTACAAACAAATGAGTCAGCAGAGAACCCCCATCCTTCCAAAATGTTGAAAAGTTGTCTTGTGGGATGAGGCTTGTGCCAAAACATAGCAGCCATGGTACATGGGTATAAGGCAATGGTTTTATAGCCTGGGACTCGCCAGGATGGGTCCACGGCTTAAGTCAAACTGATGAAATTAAGAATAAAACATGAGAGGGGAGCCTGAGTGGCTCAGGTGGTTGAGTGTCCAACTCTTGATCACAGCTCAGGTCTTGATCTCAGGGTCATAAGTTCAAGCTCCACATTGGGCTCCATGCTGGGCGTGAAGCCTACTTAAAAAAAAAAAATCAGAAGTCAGCCTACCAATAATTATATGTGGAATGAATTAATGTTTAAATTTTTTAGGGGAAGCTGGGGGGCTCAGTTGGTTAAGCGTCTGACTCTTGGTTTGGCTCAGGTCATGATCTCAGGGTCCTGAGCTTGAGCCCCACGTTGAGCTCCATGCTCAGTGTGGAGTCTGCTTGTTCTTCTCCTTCCCCTTGCAAATGCTCTCTGTGTCTCTTTCTTTCTCTCTGTCTCAAATAAATAAAATCTTTAAAAAAAAAAGGTTTAACCTTCCTCACAGCTTTGGATAGTCCCTGGAATTATTTCCTTAGAGAAGAAGGTTGAAAACAACCTTAAACATAGTCATTTCCTCTTGATCTTAGAAATCAGCAATATTCATGCTCCTATCACTTGCTCATATCTTCAAGATTAAATGTCAAATAATCGATACTATGTAGAGACATGACTGTGTATGTGAACACAAGTGCATTGCTAATGTTCTCCACTCAAAAACAGGTTGTAGTTGGGGCACCTGGGTTGTTCAGTTGATTAAGCTTTGGACTCTTGATTTTAGCTCAGGTCATGATCTCAGGGTCATGAGCTTGAGCCCCGCATCAGGCTCTGCACTGGCCATGGAGCCTGCTTGAGATTCTTTCTCTCTTTCTTCATCTGCCCCTCCCCCTGCCCCTGCTTGCACTTCCTCCCCACCCCCCTTAAAAAATTAGATTGTATTTGCCATCGATGATTTCACTGGCAACCCTATCATTGAACGCTTTTCTGTGTAAGGATATTCAAAGAATTGAGAGTCTGGTTGAGGTGAAAGGATGTCAGAAGAATATCAAGAAAAGTACCAGGGAATATATTATATACACAAGTGATTGGTATGAACAAAGCCTCTTGTTAATTGTTCATTTATTATTTTCTAGGAGAATTGACGTTAGAAGAATTTATCAATGGCACGGAAAAAGATCAAGATCTTCTGGAGATTGTTTCCAAGAGCTTTGACTTTTCTAATGTACTGAAAGTGATCTATAATAAGAAACAGTCAGACACAGATGGGAGGCTTCCTTTAAGCCACGTGAGAAGGCTGATCTAGAGAAGGTGGAAATGAAGCAGCTGTGAGCCATGAGAATGCCTTTCCCAACTTTCAGTGGATGCAAGACTTTCGGTTGAGAAGAGATGAAATTCTCCCACATACATGCTATTGATTTCAGGTTTTTATTATAATTGGTATCGGCTTGTGAATACATAATTTAAGTCCCATGGATACTTCCATGAAGATCTTAGGCAAAATAATTGTTGCTCTTCTATCTATATTAGTGGTTTCTCTACAGATTAGAACACGATGATTAAACTGAAGGATTATCTCCATCCTTTCAAAATAGTGCTCACATGTATATTTCCTTGCACACCTAAATTAATCTGCATCTTGAAATACACCTGGATAATCTGGGCAGTGTCTCCATACTTTAACATTCTTCTTAAACATGCATTCAGCAAATATGTTTGCTGCCTCGTGGCTCCTGTTGTATCTCTCTACTATAAGTGACCAAGTTCCGGTCTACAGAGACAGTTTTTTCTTCCCTTTTTCTCTTATTCTGACCCTGAATCCTGTCTTGAATCAGTAATAATGTTCTGCTCCAAAGGAAAAGTCTTAAGCTCTGTAGTAAAAGGAGAAAATTTCAGGCTGGGCAATGAGAATGTTTCTGCTGATTTGTTATAAATCTGGGTCCAGTTGTGCATGAAAATGGGATGCATCATCTGTAATTATTATGCCAGTTGGGGGTTTGATCAGAACAGCAGACAGCCAGGCTATGCAACAACAAGCACTTGACATTTTAAATGGTCCTGACATTATAGCTCTGACATTTCATTTTTTATATCCTTTCCAAAAAATGAAATGATGAATGAGATTTCTTGATGGGTTAGAACTTTTTAAGTTTTGGGTTCTGTATCATGGGCCCATTAGTGCATCTGTCAATGCAAGGCTTTCTTGTGGGAACACAGTGGAGGCTGAAGAGCAGATGTGAGCTCTCTTTATATTAAGACCTTTGTAATTATGCTTTCATATTCAGATTTGGGCTAAACACACACAACTGAAACTACAAAGACAGACTTGGATGGCCCTGTCTCCCTCGTGGTTACAGATGTGGGTAAAAATGTGGATTAGAGATACAGATGAGGCATGCATGGTGGTAGAAATGAAGTATAAATGGAGGTAGAGAAGTTATAGATGAAGGTATAGATGAAAATGCAGAGGAAGGTAGTCTAGATGGGTGTGGAAATATTCTGTGGTTTTCCAAAAGATTTTGAGATTTGCAAAGAAGTGCACAATGTATGTTGAAGAAAAAGTATTGCTGGTACAGTAAAGTAAGAAAAATCATCACAGCCATAATGACACAAAGTTCTACTCATTTGCTGACAGTGGGCTATCCATTGGACTCTGAACTTTCTAGCAGTAGAAGGGAAAAGGAAAACATCATGACAGTCTTGCCCAAGCAACAACCCCATCTTGTAAGTGGCATTTGATTTCATCATGGCCCCCCCATTCCTCTGAGGCACCTAGTGTCCTTTCCATAGAAAACTGGGTCCCAGCGTCCCCTTGCAACCTTCTACATCCTAATAACTCTGACCTTTCCCCTTTGTTCTTCTAGCCGAGGAGGGTAGCTGCTTCCAGCCATTTCTGTGTTGCTTCTTCAATGTCCTCCCTTTGCTTTTTCACTCCTCCAATGTCTTTCTCACTAATACCTTATATTAATGCTGTTAATCAGTGTGATTTCTGTTTCCTTGACTGGATCCTGACTGATTCTGTGTCTTGACGGACTGAAAGGTCAGTCCTCATTCAGGTGTGTAACCCACCCCCTCCTTTCCTTGCATGCCCTGATATTTGCTTTGGAACTGTGCTGAGTGGGCTTGTTTAATCCTAATGGCCCAGTGGTGTGGCTGTTATCCCCACTTTATGTCTGGCACCTGAGACTCAGAGAAGTGATACCACTTTCTTAGAGTCCCTGCCTGGTAGTGTCCCTTTAGCACCACCTATAGATTGAGCTTTATAGGGAAACAGCCAGCAAAGGAGAAAGGTACTGAAAAGGACCCCAGTCTAGCATCACAGAGCAAAAAATGGAAGGATAAAGTTGGAGCCAAGTGTATATAGCTTAATTTTCAGCACTATACCACCAACGCTGCACTATCAGCACATTTGGGATAGTTGGTGTGAGCCAAGTAGACACCTTAGGAACCAGCACCCCCCCCCATAGTTTCTATAGTCAGAGCATCCAAGGTCTGCCCTACCACAGGGCTCATCTTGTACTTTATGCTTTCAACCCTGTAGTTCTCCTCTGGCTTCACCCTGTTGCCTCTTACTGGATCCTCCTCCACCCATCACCCCCTTTGGAATCATGACTGATTTGTCTAGTGCACCCAGGTTAGGTTTTGGTTTTTCCCTGGATCTCTCAGATTTCTAATCTCTTTTCCATGCCCTTTATGTGGTGCTCATGCCTCCCAAGTTGACCCCAGGGCTTATGGTGAAGAGGCAAGAGTGGTACCCCCTTCCCTTTTCAAAGAAGAGTGTCATCTGTAAGCAGGGCAGACAGGCCCACATAGTACAAATTTGTTAGCTTCTTAGGGAAAAAGGTTAGTGGGTACAGAGAATGTGAAGATACTAGCTGCTTTTGATAAGAAAACAGTTCATGAAATAGTTATCTGACCCATAGTTTTGCTGAGGATAGTCCTAAGAAGGGGAAAAGTCTGAAATTCAGGTACAAAAGAATTTAGATTAATTCATGGTAAGGTAAGACAGAAAAAAAAAAGAGGTCAGAAAAACAGAACTATATCCTTTCCCTTGTCTCCATCTCCCTCTCTCTTTTAAGATTTATTTACTTATATGAGAGAGAGAGAGAGAGGGTAAGTGGGAGGGGCAGAGGGAGAGGGAGAAAATCTGGAGCAGACTCTGCCTGAGTGTGAAGCTGATCTCATGACCCTGAGATCATGACCCAAGCCAAAATCAAGAGTCGGAGTCTTAACCGACTGAGCCACCCAGGTGCCCCCCTCAAGTCTCCATCTCTTAAGGTCTATCTCCCCAAGATCATGTTCTTTCTCCATGCTTTCCTCTGTAGCTTAGCACCATGAGCCTGGTCCAGGAAATAGTCCTAATCTACATAGGAAGTCATGTTACTTGAATGAACTGGGGATTTTAAAATAAATCCCTTCCTCCTTCAGATGATAAGCTTTAAGTAGAACCTACTGCCCAGTGACTTTTTTTTTGGGCAGGTTTTTTTTTTTTTTAATTTTTTAATTTAAACAGAATTCCATGTGTTTCCCCCCAGTGGTTTTACAGTAAAATTTCAAGTAAGGAATTTTATGACAAGTAGGGCCTAGTGTGTGAAGAACCTCAACAACCTTAGGTTAATGTCTAGACTATCACTTCCATTTACCAAGGGGCAGTGTTCCAACCAGCATTATAACCATCTAATGAGAATCAGCATCCTCCAACACATTCTTTGTTCCTACAATGGCTTGATGTTCTGAAGGAAAGACACTATTTTAAAAAGAGATAAGGTATTAAAAGATTTGATCATCTTAATCTTATAAAAGTGACACCCCCCCAAGAGATTAAAGTCATATTACATCTCTCTATGGATTTGAAGATGCACCGGAAGATGGCCTACGTCTTTGGTCCCAAGTCTTGAGAAAGAAAGGAAGAAAAAAGAGGAAAAGAGATGAGTGGCAGCTGGTCCAGGGTAAGAACAAGCTCTAATATGATTTATCTTCTTTCTCCTCATGTTAGTAGCTGATGACCAGCTGCTCCTTCAATTAAGCCTTGGTTCTTTCTGGCAGGGACATGGAATATTTCACCTAGAGAAATACCTGCTGATACAGAACAGGGGTTTAGATCACAAAGGTAGGCTGTGGGGGCAGGACAATGGTTTAAGTGGGGCAAATATTTCCTTTTTTTATTTCCAAAATGTGTTGGCACAAATGTAATGTGGAATTAAATGAGAAAAGTGGTTTGTTTAAAATTAAATATATGACCAAAAGGGGAAGTGAAGTGACTTAAAGGAAGGACTAGCACATTGAAGAAACAATATGATGGCTGGAGACAGCCTGCTGCTCTGCCTACCCTCCACCCCCCACTTATATTAGAATAACCTTTAAACATGAAAATGAAATACGGAAAAGTCCTGACATTTAAAACCAAGCTAGGGTCTTATGCTTGCTTAAGAAATCTAAATCATTAAAACTGTGTGGACAGGGAATAGCTTTTTTAATACTTGGAGTTTGTTTCTGGGGACAGCTGTAGGTAAGCAAAATTGGACATTCAAATAAAAGCCAGAGAATACCGAGCTTTATCCGTGGGATAACTGACAACACTGAGAAAGATATTTAGGGAGGCAGAATTGCTTGATGGAGTCAGCGCAGGACTGAGACCACATGTGGATTCCTGGGACCTCCAGCAGGCCATTTGCCCTTCTGGGTCTTGGATCCTCAGCTTTCCAGAGAGACGACAAATCTTTGAGGTCCCTTCCACCTCCATTTTTTAAAATTCCATCAAACCTTAATAATGTAGGGAATGACACCTCAGTACCTCAAAAAAATTATTAGTTACCTAAAAACAAAATTTACGGAACAAATTGTATCTGATATAACTTGCATGAAGCCCAGATTTTTTTTTTTTTTTTTTTTTTTTTTACTGATGGTCAGTGAGTTTCAGGTTGCCACCTGTAGACTCTCTGTTGTCTCCAGTTGTTACTTTTTGTCCATACCCCTCATTCTGAGTGGCTCTTCAGCATGTATAGAACAGTGGGTTAGTGATAGACTTCCTGCCTAGAAGTCACCTGAAAGTCTTTTTCAGAATTTAAAAAAAAAGTAATATCCCTGGTAGTTCTTTTTTTTACATTTTTATTTATTTATTTGAGAGAGAGAGAGAGCATTAGCTAGGGGAGAGGGGCAGAAGGAGAAGCAGACTCCTCGCCAAGCAAGGATCCTGATGCAGGACTCAATCCCAGGACCCCAGAATCATGACCCAAGACGAAGGCAGATACTCAACTGTCTGAGCCACGCAGGCGCCCCATCCCTGGTGATTCTAATGCATGGCCGGGTATGAAAACCACAGTCATTCACATGTCCTCTGTGAGAGACCCTTCTCTATAGTCACCCTGAAAAGGCCAGTGTCCATCTGACACGACATGAGATAACATAGGTAAGCACCTAGCACAGTGTGTGGTATGTTACATACCTAATACATACTTAGTGCATGTTTGTTCCTCTTTTTGCACTTTTCA